TATTATTATTATTATGGTTGGTTGCACAGTCAGCCAGATGTTTAGACTGGATTTGGCATTTTTATCCACCTATCGAGTCCTATTATTATTATTATTATTATTATTATTATTATTATTATTATTCTTTATGAGACTGTGTTCCAATCTTTATGGATAAGTAGAATCTTTCAGCTGGTGTCATTTTCAAGAACAGACATAAGAACATTAATACATTCCTTGCAGGGCTTCATTTGGGAAAACCTATAGTGTTGGTGCATATCCCTTGCACAGCACAACATTTTAGGGCTGGGGAAAACAATCTGTCTGAAATGCTGGAGAGTTACCGCCAGACAATACTGAGCAAAAAGGACCAGTGGTCAACTCGGTAGGAAGAAACTTCCTATCTCAATACAGGCCATTTAGAGAATGAGATCAATCCAAAATCTTGCTGTGCATTCTTTGCCTATATGTGCAAATAGCCAAAGGCACATTTGCTAAAGAGTATCTATTATCTAGACCTCCTGTTTAAGAGTTTCTCTAGCATCTAATGTTCAAACAACTTCCACTCAGACTCCAAAAGCTTGTTTCTATATAGCACAAGCTACAAGAAAATGGGAATTTAATTAATGCACATATGGTTTACCTAACTACCCACAGGCCCTATGAGAACATCATGAACTCAGTCTGAAACCTGTCTGTTGCAGTTATATACACACTTCAATGCAAGAAGGCCCCCTGAACCCAGTGAGGCATAGTTAACATGAATAATCCTGCCACCTTCCTGTCTTAAGGGTTTAATCTTTGTTTCATTCTTTGCTGTCGCACCCTGAGGCAAGGTGTTTTGTGCACAGATGTGAACCAGTAAAGAAAGTCATTTTCACTACCCTATATATAGGGATTAGTGGATCACAGGAAGCCTGGTCTCTGTAACTGTTTACTTTTGGGAATGGAATTCTAAAAGCACATTTTTGTTCCAATATTTATTTTAAAAATCCATATAAATTTTACCAGTTTGGATTGGGAGACACACAGAGGTTTAGATTATAAACTTTACAAGGTGGCCAAAAAGTCCCTTTTCACTCCCCGCCGCCCCCTCGCCCCCCGCCGCCCAGAGCTTGGAATGCTAGCAGCAGCTTGGGCCTTCTTTCTTAGCATTCCCAGAAGTGGCCATATGACCACGCCACATTTTATGATCATATCTCATAAAATTCCAGAAGTGGCCTGGAAAAGTCTCTTCACTTCAAAGAGTCGAGAGATGCTGAAAGCACGTCAGACGTATTAAAAGTTAAAACAAAGCTAGAAAAGACCACTTGGCCACCTTGTAAAGTTTATAAAGATGGCTTCTGACTCTCCCTGCACATTTTTTTTCCAGAGAAGGATGATTGATAAAGCTAAATTTTGGCCCAGCCAGTGTCCATCCATTTCCTTCCCAAATTCGCATGCAGAGGAATCCAGGCCAGAATTCTTTTTAATCATGTACCACCTACTGGATTTTTTTTTTTTTAATATTCCTTTCTATGCACGACTCAGATCAAGCAAGGAAAGCTGCCTGACTTGTTTTGATTTGGTTGTTGTTGCTGAACTGTGATAGTTCTTGTTGGACAGCTAGCTAGTCTTTTGATCACAGTAAACTGAATCAGAAATGACAGTTCAGTACAAAGAGAACTAGAGGAAAATAGGAACCATCAAGCAGGACTGGAGAAGAAAAGAGGCACAAGAGCTCCATGGATAAATGGGAGACTAAATACATTCTTAGTAAGCATATCAAAAATATCAGATGGTATTGATACAAGTATAACCAAATACTTTATATATTTCATTGAAATCTAGATTCATATTAATCTGGATGATACTGTGCTTATGTGGTAACTAAAAGGTATCTTTCAGGTCACCATTGTAATAAATGGCTCAAAAAGACAAGAGAAATTAGTACCTGAAAATGTCAACACAATGTTTTTTTGAATACATAAATATTGCTCATAAGGCAACAAAGTTATGTATCATATTTGCAACTAATTTTCATTTTTTGATCTTCTTACAAATTACATGCCATGAACTAATTCATATTTTGGTATTCTAGTGTAAGCATAAACAACGGTTACTACTTATCTCAGATTTGTGTTGGAGATATTTACAAATAAGCAAGGCTGGTAAATTTCCGCTTCCTTTCATGCACATACACCTTTGTTATATTTTTGTAAGCCCGAACATTATTTTTAAAAGTTTGGAAGATGGTGTATATGCATAATTAAGCAAAACCAGCATCTCATAATACAGAAAAACATTCCTGTAATTGTTTTTAACAGCAGTTGGAAACTAGTTTACAGAATATCAAGCCTTGGACACATGCTGAGTGTTCTTTCAATCTTGCAAGTAGGGTATCAGTTTAATTTACAGTGTGGTTGAAAAATGAATGTAAAATTTTGTTTTTCAGTTGAGCACAGCATTTGCTAGCAGAACAGATGACATATGGTACAACATTCATCACCAATATCTGTTAATTGCATTTTATGTATTTAAAAAGTGTGCATATGCAGTTGAAAATGTAACAAGAGTAGACATGAAATTGTTAAAGCCACAAGCCATATTTTACTGTGTGCTAGATGCAGAATTATCTGCAATCCCTCTTACACAGAGGGCACTGGAATTAATAGGTACTTTAGTCATGTCCAAATACTCCAGAGGTGCTCACCTATTAGTGGACAATGCAATATTGAGCTGTGGAGACACACCATTAAGGTAGATAAAAGGTTTCATTCCATGAGTAGATTAGCAAGGAATTGGCTAACTGTAGAGACTGATTGTCCTATGAAAAATCTAGCCTGTTAGAGATCCTCCACCTCTTGGGATGTTTACAAGCAGGAAAAAGAAATCCATGTCCTGATTTTGGGGCAAAGATAGTTATACTCCTGAACATGGATGATCCTTTCTTCGGTACTGTGACTCTTATTCACTGAAAGATGTATTTTCCATAACGCATGTCTGCATTCTGTCTGTGGATAACTAAGTCATCCTCCTGGGTCTGAGATAGAACAGTCAGAGGGCTAATTCAAATGTCATTAGCTCTGATCTGGAGATGGCTGAATAATACTTTGTATGAGGGCAACTCTGTGCAAGAATTGTAATATATATTTAGTCTGATGATGGACAATCTCCATGTTTTTCAGCCTCTGGTTTGCATAGAGAATCTCTGCATGGGGTATCAGCTGTGTGACTGGAAGTGTTTTTGTCAGCCTCCAATGGAGATGCTGCAATGTTTGACATTAGTGACCCTCAAATCTCTATTCACACTAGCATATCTATTCACTCTCAATTCTTGTACAGTTATCCTGGCATTAGGAAAAGTCTAACAAGCTGAAATGTTTATGCACTAGCATTGGCACGTTGACTTTGCCAGTGGGACAAAGGATACTAGTACTGCCAGCATCTTTACTTGATGGGAGTAACTACAGATGTGTTTTGTGATCCCTCCAAAGAAACCCTCAGACTTTTGAAGGACAATGCTTAAAATATCCTTTGCATGTGTTGCCTTGAAGAGGAATTGCAACTGAGAAACAGTATTTAGAAGCTAACAATATATATGCAGAAGAACAGGGCCTTCGGGTTTCAGAAGGAGAGGCAGAAAAGATAGGAATGAGGCAAAGAAATCTAAACCGAGACTCTACAACCCATAGTAGAGAAGCTTCATGTCATCTACCGAACCAACGGAACAGGAAAAGAGAAATTAATATGAAGAATCAGTCATATCCCTTCATTGCCCTCCCCTCCCCTCCCCCTCCCTCTCCCTATTTTGCACTCCCTGGTGTGCTGCTGCCTGTTAGTCAGAATGTCGTCACATAATGCACTGGTGACTGCAGATCTTCCGTCACTTCCTGCTTTCTTCTCTCGTCATTGTCTTCTGTAGAGACAGAAAAGGAGGATTGATGGCGTAAACATTATCCCAAACATTTTACATTGCAGAGGGAATAACCAAGGCACCTCCATTGTATTTCACTTGTTTCTGGGATTTCTGAGATTTCTGGTTTAGAAAACATGTGCAGGAAATGCTCTCTGTATTTTTTACCTTCTGTGAATTGGCTATACCTGCATTCTGCTTCAACCATGTTCTTTAATTTGGAAAATTCTAAAACTTGGGAATCTGAGCATGAATACTTTGCCACGGTTCTCCAATTTTAATCTTACAGACATGTGGATATGGGTGCACTAATAAAAAGTATTCATGAAAAACAAAGCTAGAGGCCAGTGTCTTTAAGAGTGTATCAGTGGCAAAGATGTCCCCCAGTGTCAGGTGAACTGCATGTCAAAGTAAAGGTAGAGAAGAATAGCAGATCTGGCATTTCTAAAGTACTCAGGAGGAGGTATTAACAACTGTTTATATTCCTTACAAGCAAGGTAAGCTTGTTCATTGGAAAAGATACGTATATGATTGGTAACTGTGGCCAATCATCAATTAAATATGGATTTATTTTTCAGAATATAATTATTTAATCTATGATCTTGCAGGAAGCCCTAATTCATCTTCCAACCATTTGTTTTTAAAAAGATTGCCCCACTTACATAACAGAAAACCATGTTCTACTCTTGGAATGTATGCTACTTTGTCCATGAAGAAAGGGAGCCAGATTAAATAGCTCATATTAAAATAACTGGGAGAAAGAAAGAAAGAAAGAAAGAAAGAAAGAAAGAAAGAAAGAAAGAAAGAAAGAAAGAAAGAAAGAAAGATTGATTTCTGATGAATGCCAGCTATGTAGATGGAACAGTGGGACATCAGTTCAAAACAGTGAGTAATTAATTGCAATCAGGATTGCAATTAATGCATAAATATAGATATTTATGGATGTAGGTTTTCATCTTACAATAAGACAAGAATGGTGAGGTGATAAAACTCAGGTAGCTAATTCAACATTTTAAAAATCTTATTTGATATTCAAAGTTTTACCCACCAGGATTATCATGCAATATTGAACTGCATTCTGGGGAATATTATGGCAGAAACTACAATTCTTTCTGTACATCATCATGGAGGAATTAGAATGTAATTCATATATCTAAAGTATTATTTAGCAGCTGTTATTAATCTTGAAACTCATGATTGTGTACTGTGTCTTACAACTTATGGCAGGTTTTATTGCAGAAAGAAACATTTTTATTGTATATGCTTAGAGTAGTAGGCACTCTACACTTTTGGCACATCTGAAAGTTTCTAGCAGTCAAAAGTTTAAATGTTTAAGGTTGGGAGGGAGGGAGCTAAAGTGGGAGAAATCTGCTAAACATCACATAATAATATATAAATGTTAATTAGAGGAGGGTTTTTAAATGGCTGATCCAATTAGTGTCTGCTTAAAGTTCCCTGAGTGCAGAGAAAAGCTTTTTGATCAAGGCGATAACATCAGACTCTGTGAAAGGTCTTGAATGAAAGGGATTCTTTGTTCTGACACTTTCCCATCTTGTGGGGCTCTCCTCCTCCTCCCAATCAGAGATGCTGGCATACCTGAAAGCATGAAGAAGTCCTTCATCTCCCTCTCTTCCCCCACCTCCCCCTTCTTTCCCATGTCATTATCTTTTTTTTATAACTGGTAAGCAATTATATTGCTTCGTATCCTGCTATCTGCATTTCTTCTCCCACTGTATTGGCTGAATCTCTGTAATTATCCATATTATTTCTTTATTTCCCCACAGTCTTGTTTTATGTAAATTTACCAAGAGTTGCATCCAAGGGATGAGTGCATGGATGCATTTGTTCTTTGTTATGGTTGTAGAGCAAAGTTCCGTACAATATACAGTGCAGAGAAACATAAGGATAAACATCTAATATTTCAACTGTAAAATGAATAGCGAATAGCCTTCTAACATAAGAGCGATCCATGAAATCCTATTTAAACCCAGTGTTTCTTTACAGTCATTGTGACTGAGCAAAATTGGGCAAGTTCCATCCAACTGCAGCTACTCTGTCAGGAGAAGATGCCTACCCTGGGACACTTTTGGTCAGGGTCCTCTCCCTCTGCAGTCGTTTGTGGCCCTTCAATCTGCATCAAAGCACCTCCAGCTACACTATTTACCATTGTGGCCATGACACATGAGTACTGACGAAAGGTACTCAGCAGCAGCATGCATGGGCAATTTTTTAGAAATTTTGAGGAAAGGTTACAGCCAAACATTGCTTTCTTCCCCATTCTATTTGTGGAGGCCTTTGACCACAGTTGGATATGGCTCCCTATTTTATAGTTTGTTATCTATCTATCTATCTATCTATCTATCTATCTATCTATCTATCTATCTGTCTGTCTGTCTGTCTGTCTGTCTGTCTGTCTGTCTGTCCGTCTACCTACCTATCTATCCTCCTCCTCCTCATCAATCTATATCCATCATCTCTCTCTCTCTCATCTATCTCTCTCATCATCCATCTACCTATCTATCTTCTCTCTCCAATCTATTATCTTTATCATCTATCTATATCTATCATCATCCATCTATCATCCTTACACACACACACACATTCTTGAATCAACTTTCCTTTTTAAAAAAATCAAATGTATGTGTAGACATAAAATATGGATGCTACCACAACCATACCCAGCCATTCTATTAAGTCTTAAGATTGCAGGATTCTACAAGGACACCTGAAAGTAAATCAGTGAATTTAGTGAAGCTCCCACTCTATAGATAAGGATTGGTATGTAAGGCAATTTTCTCTTGCTATGTGGCAATGAGAAATCAGTTTTCATTACAATCTCTGTCAGCTTGAGCACAATGATATTTCAAACCCTAAATACCTCCCACTCATGACTTATACTTGAGATAGTGAGGGACAGGAGCAGAGTAAAGATGAAATTTACTCTTTCATCTTTAGCAAGCCCAGATGAAAGCTTTCATCTTCAGCAACTCGGACTCCCAGTCTTCCTTTTCAATGAGCCTTGCAAAAACCCAACCATATTAGATAAGAAAACTACCAACAAGTCTGTTATTATTCCTGGCACTACTTCATTTCATATAAAGCCTCCCAGCTCCCCAATCTGCTGTCCTCCAGATTACGCTTTGGGATTCGGGAAGGCTGCCCTAAATCCTGCATTTGTAGAATACATACGTGAGTTCACCCCAAACCACCAAATAAGAAAAATAGCATTTCCATTCAGATAAAAACAATTTATAGAAACCAATTATATTCTTCTCACCAGTGGAGGTAATAAACTTTGAAACTATGTCTAAAATGGCAAGCACGTGGCAGCTTAATTTTTAGTAATGCTGGGGGAGAGCGAGAGCGAGAGAGAGAGCTTGAGCATGAATTAGACAGTGACACAGAAGAGAAGAATTTCAAATGCAGCATTTTAATTTGGTGTATCCTTTTTTTTTTTTTCCTTGACAACTTTTTAAATGGAGGCTGTTGCAGCTCATATTTCTCTCTCCCATCTGCAGCATTGCAGTATATTGTCAATATACTGACAAGGACAAAGAAGTACACACAGTAATAAGACATCTTAAAATCTCTGTGACAGAACTGCCACTGCTACAAAGCTTCTATATTTGGTTTGGAGAGACATGAAATCCCATTATAGGTGTAAATAGCTCATCTTGGTGGTATATGATACTGGCATCGAGTAATCAGCACTGGAAAAGAAATGAAATGTATTTGTGATTCTGTTTGACCTATCTTGGGTAGGGATCCCAAAATTGGATTTTATAATTAGGATGTGACAGGGAATTGGGTTTTTTTAGGTCTCGGTTTCTGTCTACCAAGGAATCAAGCTGCTTACATTTATGACCATATTGGTGTGTTCTCTTTCATTTCTCATGTAATCACACTCTGCAATCGCTTATACATTCTGTTTCTATAAAGCAGAATAGTTCAGTAGTTAGAAGTGGCATTCAGCAATGTTCAGCCAAGGGCATGAAATTCTCAGAACATATATCGATTACTTCTGGAATATAGATTTCAAATAGCCAAACCTAATTCCAGCCAGTAGAAATGGCTGATTTGCTTGGCCTTTTCTTTCTAGCAATTTTGTTTATGAAGCTGCCTAAAGAAAGCCCACATTGTTCCATTAAAACAAAAGATACTTCAACCAAAACTTTTTTTAATCCTCATTCATTTTCCCATGTATAGTTCTATATTAGGTTCAGTGATCACTAGTCATCTCCTGCCCCATCCCCTCATATAAACCACACCAAATATTATAAGGATCAGACACAAAAAATGTAGCACTCATTTCTGCGCAGTGAGGGAAACTTCTCTGTTGGGTGTTGCCAGAATTGGAAGGTCTAAATCTTCGGCAGTTCGGTTCACTTTATTCTTCCTTTCTCATTAACCCCTGGCAATTGGGCCTAATAGGAGAAGGCAGCAAGAGGCTGGGAGACGCCAAGTTCTCATCCGCAGACAATCCTTGATCTCACCAAGTTATTGTATTTGGGAATTCAAGTCAGATTCATATTTTAGGCATATTTTGTTTTACCTAGAGATACCATTAGCTTTCTTGGCTAATTCTTCTGTAAAAATATTATATGTGGAACAGCTGCAATAAAACGTACAGCATATAATGGAAAGGAAAGATGAATTAACTTACCCTGAGATTAATTTTCTGTCTGTGATTCTGTAGGCTCTTCTATGTTTTCAACTTGACTATTCATTTCAACTAAAAACAAAGCAGCAAGGTTATCTTTCTGCATTCTTTTTTAGGCTATTATTCTTCCTGAAATTCAGTAATCCAGTTGCTGAGTTTAAAACCATCTACTGCATCAGAGGATTTCCAAACCACACTAAAGAGAAATTAATTTGACCTGCTAAATATTTATATCATTTTAAAAGAAACATGGCCATCATTGCTATGAATCTGGGAGTCTTTTGTCCTGATTTGAAATAGACCACTTGATATAATCACTGAAATACTTTGGTGTCATTTCTACATCAGGAATATGTAGCATTGCAATGTTTTATTATATGGCCGTATAAGATTGGAAAGATCTGATAGTTCCTCCTCCTGGATCACAGCAGGATGACCTGAGAGCCAACATACATGAATTATTATTGTTGGTCGCACAGTCAGCCAGATGGTTATACTGGATTTGGCATTTTTATCCACCTATTGAGTCCTTCCCAAGGACTTGGGATAGGCAGATGTTGTTTGATGTTGTTAAAGGTATCGTCACAGGATGTAACCTGTTCCAAGTTTATTATTATTATTATTTTGCATTCTGCTGACTCCACCCAGAATGTAGTTGCTCTTTTGCTGTACAGGCAGCAAAAATGTCTACCTATAATTTGCTTTATATTGGATACTTTTTTCTCTGCAGTACTGCTGTTAGAGACTTTATGGACCACTGATTGATATGGAACTTTATTCAGAGTTGAAGTCTATAAGATTTCACTGCCTCAACAGCAGAGGTCTATACAGGCATGAGCTTCTGTACTGCTATAATATGCAGAAATATTTGCCCAGAGAACCAGAACATGGCTGTGAATACGTGTGAAATATAGCAGCAACTGTAGTATTTATTTATTTATTTTATTTATTTATTGAATTCATATAGCCGCCCATCTCAGACCAGTGACCCTGGGCCTAATCCTAATCAGTAGCTCATTTTCATGGTTGACATGAGCATAGTCTACAATAACATCATA